TTACTCATTTTTTCTTCCCTTCATTTCGTACTTTAATTAATTTCATTATAGATAAACATATAAAAATTCATAAATAATTTATGAAAATTTATTTCATGACCTATAGATAAAGATAAAAATTTTAAAAAATTTTTTAAAAAAAATAATTTCATGACTTATAGATAAATAAACATATGAAAATTGATAAATAATTTATAAAAATTAATTTCGTGGCCTACAAATAAAGATAAAGATTAAATAATTGATTTACAAAAAAAGTAAAATAATAAAATTTAGATAAAGATATGATTTGTTAATCTATATATCTATCAAAAACATATATATCTAAATCTTTATTTTCATTTGCTCATATTTTTTTTCTCCTATCACATATTATCTTTTTTTATTTTAAATTTTTTATCTTATGAAATGTCTTTATCTATAACTTCTTATCTCCTATTAAATTCTTAACCTTCTTTTGATAATTTTTATTATTCGTTATTATCTACCAAGTGATAAAGATTAAAAAAAAAATTATTGACTCTGAATGAGAAAAGTATTAATAATGAAATTTGTTCACTCTAAATGAAAAGAGTATTAATAATGAAATAATAAAGGCTACATGGGAGAAGGCAGCACAAAAATCTCACAAAATTAATTTTCTTCACTATATTTATAAAAGATAATAATTTGATATTCTTTCTATTAGTTATTAAAAAAAAATTGCAGTAGATCATTTTTTTTTTTTTAAGGCTGTCATTCGTTATAATATTTCTCCAATCACATCTCTAAATTCTCTCTTTGAAATTTTTGTTTTTTCAATAATTAAGTTTAGAATCAATTTCTTATCAAATTTGTTTTCTTGGTCCTTATCGAGACGAATAAAACTTTCATTTAATATACGAAATTAATGAATATAATACAAAGATGATAAGGAAGTACTACATGTTTGTTAATATCTCTATGTTATTTTAGTTGATTTGTTATATTATACTATCAATTTAGAGCCCATATGATTTAATTCAATGTCCATGACTTTATTTGTATTCGACCATTTTTTCCCACAGATATAATTTTTTTTTTTTGGGTATATAATGATTAAAGCTATCATTTGTTATATTTTTTCAAGTACAATTCAAATAATTTTTCATCATTTTTTTTTATAAATAAAATAGATTAAAATTATTCTCTTATATAATTTTTGTAATACTATTAAATTCTTATCTTGATTAATTTTTTTTAAAATGACGTTGGATCTATGCAAGTATTATTCAAACTATGGAGAAGGATTTATACTTTGATATGATATGCGTGTGTCATTGATAGAGGAAATCAAAGATAGAGAGTTGCTAATATAATCAATTAATGATTTGTTTGAGAAGTTCTTTTTACAAACAAGGCAACAAACTTAGATTAAAATTTTAAAAAAACTACTTATAAATTATAATTAAAAGTTGATATTCATAATTTGATCCCACAATAATAATATACACCACTGATTTAAAAGTCCAAGTAAATTTATGTTAACTTTTATGAGCTTATAGAATTTCTCTCTTTTAATATTTTGTTTAGTTTGATACAAGTTATTATGTTATTAATTTGGTGTTTACCACATCACAGCTAATGGAATCACCCTCCAGATCTTCCTTTCTTTCTTCTTTAACTTCTTCCCTGCCCACCAAAACAGTAAACACTCCACAGATCCTGGAATAGCAGTTTGGATATCCCACCAACCCAACATTTCAGCCCAAACCCTCCACACAAAAGGACACCAAATTAAGACATGAGTCACTGATTCAGTATCACTGCCACAAAACACGCAAGCAATGGAAGCACTAGAGTTGATCACCCCCAATTTTTGTGGAAGTGCAGGAATGAGTGTGTATTCAGAAAAAACTATTCCAAATGTGGAGGACCTTTGTGACTTAATTAAATATAGGATTGCATTTTGGTCAAAGCCAGCTTTCAGTGAGTTTAATTTTTCAGTTCAGGATTTTGTGCCTAATCTGAGGCAAGTGAGGGAGTGCTTGGGAGGGTGTGTTGGTTTGGTGTACTGATCTGTGGTGTGCTGTTAGGCTTTGTTGCTGGGTGTATGCTGCACTACTGTTTTTTTGGTGGGACTTGAGAGGTTTGCTGGGCTGGTATGGTGTATTACCCAGATTGTATGTTGTTATGCTTTGAGGATTGGTGCATGTTGTACTTGTGTTTTGCTATTTTGCTGCTTGGTATACTACTGTTTTGCTATTTTGCTGCTTGGGTGTATGCTGTATGCTGGGCTGGTATGGTGTATTACTCAGATTGTGTGCTGTTAAGCTATACTGTACTGGTGTTTTGCTATGTTGCGGTGGATTGGTGTATGTTGTTCTGTTTTATGCTGTTCTGTTGCTGTGTTGTAGGTTGCAGGTGTGTAGTGTTGGGATTTGATGGGTAGTGTGGGAGGTTTTTGGTCTGCTATGGAGGATTGTTTATTTATGGGAAGGATGCTTTATTGTACAGATCAGGAGGTATTTAGGTGGTTTTTGGGCTGAACTGTTTGGGATTTGGCCTACTGGTTGAATTCTGCTTCCTTGCTGGATAGTCATTTGTTTGGTCTCTTAGTTCGAAGACGTAGTCTAGCTCTCTATCTGTTTGTCTTTTTTCTTGCTTTCTGTTGTTGGTTCCTCACCAACTGGTGCTGGGAGCTTCTGTTTAGCTCCAAGCTCCCCTTATTGATGTAATATTTCATACTGTGTTTGTTGCATCAATAAATATTTCTTTTTGCTGATCAAAAAAAAAAAGTTATTTATGTTATTAAGTGATTATGATACTATTATTCTCAATAATTTTTATAATTAATAATTTCTTATGCATATCAAATTTTATTGTGAAATTTGTGGGTTAATTATTGTTAACATCTATCTAGATGGCTTAATATCATAGTTTGTCGCTATTAAGATATAATTTAAGATTAAGAAGATTTATTATCACACAAAATATAAATAATCTATTTTTCCGTACATCGCACGGGTTACCGCTAATTAGAATGAATGGGGTGTGGAAGGTTCAATGCGGTGAGATTGAAAGTGTCTTCGTCTTGATCAATGGGTCAGCAATGGCAATGATGCCTATTAAAAAAATTGAGGATGTGCTATTAAAAATTGAGGATGTGCTTTTCATCAAAATGAGGCCTAACAAGGGGCTTGTGATGTAACCTTCATTTTAGTAAGATTAAAATGATTGAAACTAATACAAATGATAGATAAATATTAAAATTCATAAAGATAAATATATATATTTTAGTAGAAAAAAAAAACGACAGACACATACCAAAAAATGCCAAAACAAAAGTCATATTATTAGATGGATGTAGACAACAACAAATATGTAAGGATATGATCTTTTCAAATTATTGTCCTTTCGGCTCAAAAGTTTTGCAATTGAACTTGTGCCCCAAGGGCCTAAAAAAAATAAAATTGTTGTAAGTGAAATTATATAAATTGCATTAAATTGATACAAAAAGTAAACTACAAGAACTATTATTATAATTTGCAAATTTCTTTGGCAAATCTCATCCACTTGCAAACCAAATTATACTAATGCTTCAATTCCAGAGTAGTTGCTGCAGAAAACAATTAAAACGGTGATGATGAAATTGTTAAAAACTAAAAATTTCAATTATGCAATTCTATACTCTGCGTGATAACTTAACTTGCTCTGATGCTAAAATAATACGACACTTCTGAGTGGATTTCACCATTAAAACGAGCTTACAGGGTGATGATGTCCAATGTTGCGATGTCCAATGCATAGTGAGAAAATTAATTGTCAATTATTAAAGACTTACAAGGATTCTAAAGCCCATTTCTTAATTCCCAAAACAGTTTGTTACTTTAAGAAATTTGGAATCCAATGGTTTGTGATGACCTGTAATCTCAGCCCATGTGAATAATAACAGTAACAAACTTTCCATGCCAGGAGTGACATCAATTTTCTATGCCACTCGGTGCAGCTCAAGGCATATGTAACTATTAATGAGCCGACTTTCATATCATAAAAAATACTTTATAAATTAATAAATTTTATAAATATTTTTTACTAGCAAATGTGTCATGCAATAAAAATAATTTTGAAATATAAAACACGATCTGCTTCAATAATCTGACAAGTGTCATGTCAGTGAATAAAAATTTTTTTTATAAATTTTATTATTTTATATAGCATAATCATTTGCCTCATAATAAAAGAATCTCACACTCTTACTAAAATTTGAGAGGGAGTCACTAAAATCCCTTTCACTGTATATTTTTTGATTTTTTATAAAAAGATATATAGAAAAATAAAGATGAGATATTGATTGATGTGACTCAAAAAAGTATACTCATATAAAAAAGTGCACTTATATAGTTTAACCCAAACAAGGCCCAAATTGAGCTTTACTCAAATTTTGATTTAAATTAAAGGACATGTATTTCATTTAATCAAATTTCTATCCAATCAAAACTTGACACGCAGATGCTTCTACCCAAAATTTTCAGATTCTCCTTTAGCATTCACTCAAAACTTTAACACTCGACAACTTTTACCCAAATTTCAGTTTAGGAAATTCTATGTACACACCCCTTTTGGGAACTATACCATACACACCATTTGTTACCATCTTTGTGTTTATGGTTACGATCTACTGTGTTATTAGTTATGACATATTGTGATTTTAATTATGACATTATTTTGAGTTATACTATATGTAATGTTTGGTTATAACTATTTTCATTTTTATTTTTATTACTTAATGACTCATAGTATTGAGTTATGTCGTTTGTGATAATCAAACTCACAAATAATATAACTTGTATTTAAAGTTATGTACCATGACATTACCTTTGAGTTTATTGATTAGAATATTTCATATCAAATAGAAAATTTTAATCAAACTTCTACTCAATTTGAGTAAAAGTAGAAGAAAGGATTGGAAATGGCCTACGTGGGCTCACCTTATCTTGCTACACGTTGCTCAACTGCACCAAGATATTCCAGAAGTTTCATGTGACCACAGGTGAGAATGATAAGAGAAACAGAAAGTAAAGAAAAAGCAGCAAATCTTTGTCCCTCATGAATCATGATAGACAATCAATCACATACAATTATTAAGGCTACTCAAAAGAGAAAGTTGAGTGAAAAATGGAGACCAAGTGGAAGAAAAGCTCCTCTTCATGTCTCCACCTGACAACACTACTAGCAGTACTACTAATTCTTCAAAGTGTTCTTGCTGCTGAAGAAAATGATATTGATCAACATGGGCATTGCAATGGTTCAATGGGATTCTGTGATGAAAATGGCAACAAAACGGCGCCGATGGAGTCGGAGACCAGTCGGAGGTTTCTTGAAACGACTAAATACATCACTCTTGGGGCTCTGAAGCCTAATCTACCAGTCTGTGGTGGTGATGGTGAAAGAGGAGCTCCTTACAGTAGAAGCTGCCTTCCTCCGCCATCAAACCCTGAGAGCAGAGGCTGTTCCCAGTACTACAGGTGTAGGAAATAACCACTTGGTTTCTCTCATGTGGTTTACTGATGGGTGGGAAATAGATAATCGACACGGGATCTTCAGTCTCTAAATCTTTCTTTGTGTCCTAATGCACTTGTAACCATCATATCATATCTGTAACCATCATATCATATCTCTAGACTTTTGTGTTTCGAGTGCATTGAGATAAGAAGATAGAAGAGACACAAGATCATTATCCATAAATTATATGCATGCATGAAGTTTAAGTGTTTAGTTTGTGACATTGTCCATGATTGGTATTTCTATGTGTTTGTTTTCTCTTTTGCTTCTCTCTCATTGTACAATATAAGGCATGTTTGCCCTTAAGTAATGTTTTAGAAATACTATATGAATGCAAATGGGCTATTGCTCTGAGTGTGTTTTTAAAGTGTTTGAGCACTAAGAAATTGAGCATTTAATTGAGCAAAAAATGGTCCAGTCTTAATGAATAATGATGATTTTATACCGTGTTTGGTTGGGGGATTTGAGAAGGGATTTGGAAAGAGAAATGGAAAAGATAGGTGAAATGTGAATAAAATATGCCAATATTTCACCTAGTTTCACACACCTTTTCCCTTCCCTTTTCCAAATCCCTCCCCAAATCCCTTAACCAAACACAGTGTTAGTATATTGAATTGGGCACACCTCGATGCTCTAAATTTCCAGGCAGTGGCTTCTAAAATTAATCACAAATAACCTCTCTACATATCTATTTTGGGGGTCATTTTTTCCTTCTACATCCATTTTTTATGGTAATTCTGTCCTCTATGTATAATATTTTCCTTAATTTT